AGCATTTGTTTATTTAGCTTACTGCTCAGAATGAATGGTGGCTTTAAGGACACTGCAAGAGCAACAGAGAGTAATACAAGTGTGATGTGGATACAATAAGATTTCTCCTGATAATTAATCAGTAAAGAGTTTGTGCTTTATGATTGCAACTAACTTTAATCCATTAGAGAAAACAGGCATTCTGGATTGGCTGCTGACAGGAACTCCATTAAATCCGGACGCAGAACAACGCAGGTGGGAAAGAATCCGACGCTTTTTGGATCTGTGGGAACAACCGAGACGGATTGAAAATATTTTAACACTCCCTCAGAGAATAACATTAATAGATTTTGTCAGTGAATTACAACTCCATAGGAAGAAACTAGTAACATCTATTACCAAAAAGGTACAAGAACAAATAACACTATGGAGTTGTACTAAGCACGGTTTAGAGTGTCGCCCATGGATTCATGTTGTTTGTAATAATTGCCTTGATTCATGGTGGAGAGCAACCAGAGTAAATGAAAGAGAAAGACAATTGATATGCTCAGCTTGTTTACATCGTGTGCTTCATCAGTTAACTTTGGGAAAGTGTTTTAGTGATTTTTTAGGAATATCTTTGAGACACAAGGATGGATCTCTGAATGCAGCTGTTTGATTAATAGAGAATTTGGACCAAAGAATCCTTGCTGTATTAGCTTTTGAATGGGTAAAAGAGAGAACAATTCATAATATTATAATCCAGAGCACCATAATTACAAGCTGCTGTGGAGAAGAGATTTGTGTACCGTGCCACAGACACATTTCTGATAAAAACTGGCATCGTGAGTGTGCCTGTTGGTGGTGATGAAGGTGTAACAATCACCCCAGCGTCCAGAAAAGAAGATAACCTGACCAGTTGGGTCATAAATTGAAGTTGTAGTTGGCACATCTCTAGAGCTTTGATAATTTAGTACATTTGGGTCATAAATTGAAGTTGTAGTTGGCACATCTCTAGAGCTTTGATAATTTAGTACATTTGGTTTATACAGGTAAGTTTTGGCTTTAAAAGGAAATGAATAAATAGCAGGCTAGCCCAAAGGAAGGGATAAGTCGATGCTGCAAAATCTGTGCCATTCTTGAAACCAACCACTAAAATGGCTCAGGTGAATATGATGAGACCAAAGGTAGCGGTGAGATGGAACGAGTCAATGGCGAGATCCCAGGATTTAAACTTTGCTCCCAAGAGGACTGGCACCTCGGCCCTTGGCTGCAACCCAAGGGGCCCTGAGGAAGGCAGAAAGTTAAAAGTGCTGAGGATTACTTTCACTGTGTTTATGATGATACCTTTGGTGATGGGCCAAAGCTCTAAAGCTGAATGGGAAGCAGCACAAGGGCCAGCCACAAGGAAGCAAACTATGCAAAAACAAAGTATCAGTAATTCCCACCCATGTGACAAATGTAATCAAAGGATCAAAGATAAGATGGAGTCTGTGTTTGTAGCACATTCATATGGTAATGTGGCCTGTTACAGTCACAAGAATTTTCTGGACATCTGTGTTAAAAATAGGAAAATGTATTGGGTAAGAAAAAATCTGGGATTTAAGGGACGAGTTACGTATCCTCATAATGATCAAATCTGTCCTCAATATGAAAAATTCTTCTGTTTTGAGTAAGACAAAAATGAGAATGAGCCAATTATAAATATAGCATTAAAAGAGAAAAAATAAATAGAGAAAAGTGTGAAAAAGATTCCAGAGAAAGAATTAGAAGAATTGAATCAATTGTATAAACAATTAAAAGAAAAATATAGCGACTGGGATTTGCCAACTACAACTAAAACCCTTTTTGTAGATTTGATGCAAGAGATTGCTACAGAACTAGGATTATCCAAATGCTGGGTTTGTGAGGGGCTCAGGATGGCTGAGAGGTGGCCATGGAGAGGTGAGAGTTCAGCTCCAGAGCAATTTTTAAAATGGAACCATACTCAAATCTGCGAGACATTAAAACAACCTGGAGGATGGATTTTGAGTCACCAAGTAATTGGGACAGTTTGTATAACTCGAGAAGGAAAGAAATACAATGAAGTGGTAGAATATACCCCTTGTACATCTACCCTAGGAGCAAATTCAGAGAACAATACAAAAACCTGGCAACCAAAAACTCCTGCTGGATACTGGGGAATAATGAAAGAAACTAATTGTGAGTGGGATAACCATATTGATTTGTGTCGGTATAAAAGTCCTGGAGCCAACCCTTACCAATCCATCAGTAACCTAAAATTTTATTGGGAACAACCAGGTACAACAAGTAACAAAGGGAAAGCCCCTGATGGAATATATTGGATTTGTGGACAAAGAACATATAGTGAATTACCCCAAAAGTGGAAAGGAACTTGTACCTTAGGAATTATACAGCCCTCCTTCTTTGTTATACTGAGATCCCGGACTAATATGTTAGGAACACCACTTTACAAAACACTAGAAAGGAATAAAAGGGACTTGAACTTTTGAAACACTGGAAATATTTATTATTTTTTATTTACAACTAAAATATAATTATTTAATAAACCTATATATATGTATTTAATAATTATATTATTCAATGTTTTCACTACCAAATTTTATATTTCCATAAAAGAATTCATAACTTTTTAGCAACTAAACAATTATTGCTCATTGGTTCTAAGTAACAAAATTCTCTTCGATAATGAATTGACCACTATTTCTCCCACTTTATGCTAATTAGTCCAATTTTTATTTCTTTGGGGTCTATGGAGACATTTCTGGGGCACATTTGGGGCAGTTTTGGGTCAGGGGAGGGAATTCAGAGAGAACTTCAGGGTCTGGAGGACGCTTGGGGGAGCCGGGTGAGCACTGGGAGGGGCACTTAGGGATTCTGTGGGACGATTCGGGGTCCGGGGCAGCACCTGGGGGTCCAGGGGGGCACTTGGAGGTCAGGGAGGGGATTCTGTGGGACGATTCGGGGTCCGGGCGGGCACTTGGGGGGCTCTACCAGGGCTCTCTGGGCCGCGGGGGATGATGGGAGTTGTAGGCGCGGGTATAATACGGTGTAACGGCACCGCGGAGCATCACGGGCGTTCCAGGCACAGCTCCAATGGCTCTCGGTGGGGCGCGGGGCATGACGGGAGGTGGAGTCACAGCTGGAATAGCGCTCTATGTACGCCGCAGAGCATGATGGGAGCTGTAGTCCCGGAAGTGGCTCGGAAGGGGCCTATGGGGGTCCGGGAAGGCCCTTGGGGGACACTTTTGTGTCCGAGCCGTGGCTGGAGGTCCTCGGGGGGAACGTGTACGGCTCGGGAGCACTTGGAGTGAGCCTCGGGAGCTCTAAGCGGGCTCTTTACGGCGCGGGGCACGGCAGGTATTTTGGGGGAGGGTCGCGGCAGTAATTTTAGTCTCGGGACTGTGTTCTGAAGGGCTCAGAGGCCGCGGGGAATGACAGGAGATGAATTCCCAGAAGTGGCTGTAACGGACATCTGTGGGGTCGGGAGCATTCAGGGGATCCGGGGACACTTTGGGGGTCCCGAATGGGCGCTGAGGGGGCACTCAGGGATCCTGGAGGGTCTGGGGGACACTTACGGGACAGATGGGGGCGATCCCGGGGTTCTGTGGAGCGCGGGGCATGACGGGAGTGAGAGGCAAAAAGGAAAAATGGCGCCGACTGTCGGCCCCGCCCCCGAGTCCCTGATGCTCGGTGCTGATTGGCTGAGGGCGCTGATTGGCGGGATCTTTGGCCAATG